GAATTAAAATGCACAGTTTCCTCAAAATAAAATTAATTAGTGGTTTAAAATGTACCATTAGCTTATTGGACTTAATAATCAATTTTCTAAGAAGAAATCATGACCCTGAATGTTTGGATTTAGAGGTAACAGATTACCAAGTGTTGTAGAATGAATTGGGTCCCCCGAAATGATACATCAAAATTCTAACTTCGCCCTCAACTGTGAAAATTCTAACTTCGCCTTACCTGTGTATTCGAGGTAAGATGTATTCGTACTGTATTAGGTTGGGCTCTAATCTAATGACCAGCATTCTTATAAGAAGAGGAAAATCTGGACACAGACACAGAGGGGAGACGGCCACGTGATGACAGAGGTAGAGACTAGAGATCTGATGGGGCAGTCCAAGGAGTGTCAAGGACTTCTGGCCACTACCGGAAGCTAGGATGAGGCAGAGAAGTATTCTTCCCTCAAGTCTTCAGAGGGAGCATGGCCCTGCTGACATATGAATTTTGGATTTCTAGCTTCCAGAGGTATGAGAGAATAAATTTCTGTTGTTTTAAGCTTTCTGTTTTATGGCATTTTGTTACAGTAGCCCTAAGAAACCAATACGCCAAGCACTATGAAGACTGCGCTAAAACTAAAGACAGATTATGCATCTGAAGGTTCTGTTGTACCATGGATGTCATACAGAGAAAGCTTTTGCTCTTTGATCTTGTAAAACTAATTTAAAACTGAGAATGCAGATTCTAAAAACCCTCTACAAATAACAAGAACCAAAATAAAAATCCATGGATGTATAGTGCAAGAAATTATTGAACTTTTACTCTTGATTACTGTATAAAGCTGCACATGTGACTGTAGAGGTCAGGGGGACCAGGCACTATGGGTCTCATGCTGACACTGACCATGGATTACCGCCTGAGGGCCTCAGCCTCCTCCATGTCTCCATCCCACATGTATCCAACAATTTGCAACTGATATGGTTAAGGGACAGCTAAGCTCTCTAAATAGATACTCGGGGGTTGCCAGAAGTAAGAAAAGATGGCAAAAACAAAATGAATTTAATGATAGCTTTGGGGCATTTAGGCTAGTTTCCTAGCCAGAAGGAAAGAACTGAGCTCTCAGGTTGATGAGTTGATGAGCTTACCAGAGTGTGTGTGAGGGGTAACTCTTCATATTGGGGTTTTAGAGTTTCAGAGTATAGGTACTGGCAACTGGTCCCAGGAAATACCGGTCTGTGCAGAGCTAAACAAAGCCCGATGGGATTTCCCAGTTTGATTGCCCTTGTGGCCTGTATCCCTGAGTTTCGTTTAGGCAGCTGCAAGACAGTCCTCTAGAAATGTAAGCATGAAATAGTAGTGTTCATAAGATCGGTAATCATATTATCACCTGCGAAACAGGGATACATAGTGTAAGAAAATTCTCCTAACCAAGAGGTCTATACTAACTAATAATATACAGGAACACCTTATGTTTTTATTAAGACAGAATCCAGCAGATGGTAAATATATTCAGGTGGCCATCAACACCATAACATTGTTTGTAGCCAGAAGTGTCAAAGCTGAGGACATTATGTTAGAAGTACTGATCATTTTACAAGCTGGGAGTCAAATCTGTACAGTAAGCCTAACTTATGCACCATATTGCTCAGAGCCATACTTGAGGACAAAATATAAAATGTGAAAGCCAATGTGAAAATACCTGTAGTTCCTAGGACCATATACCAAGCATAAAACTGTATAATCATTTCTGCTGTGAACCTCAAACTGCTCTAAAAAATAGTCTTTACAAAAAGAAAAAGTCATTAAAATAAACTTATAAAAGGTGATATATTTATGAAAGATTTTAAAAAGTAAACATCAACAATAAGAAGTTGCTTTAACCTGTCACCATGACATTTCATGGACAAGAATATAAGAAAAAGACACAACTGAGTTCTCAGTGTAAATAAAAGGCTGAAGACTGACAATTTTTTTCAAGATAATCCAGACCCCAAATCAGTAAAATCCTAAATACAAAGATCCTCATCAAGAATAGAAATTAACTGGATAATTAATGAATCCTAACTCTTGAGTAAAAGAACCAATAGTGCACCAAGGAAAAGAAATTACTTGTTTTTCTAAATTAACAACAACAAAAAAATGTTCACAGTCACCTTTGCATTTTTTAAAGATTAGATGTAGAAATTTTCAGATCATTTTTTATAAATCCCAAAATTCTCATTCATGTTAAGAAATTCAGCCTCATATGTAGGAAAGTCATTTAACAGGAACCAGCTTTTCCTGGAAGTGAATTAAACACTTGGAAATAATTACAGAGTTTATGACAACTTTCAGTGGCACCTAATTTAGAGCCAGATCTATGTTTATTAGAAAAAAGCTATCTCAAGTTAAAAAGAAAAAAAAAGTGTATGAATATACGTGTATTCCAGTATGTATTTATGGGACAGAGTTGAGAAAAGAGTGGGTGTACTGGTCAGAAAAGAAAACAGTAGAATCTAAGAAGTCAAAAGGAGGAAAAATAGAAAATAAATGTTCATAAGAATTTAGAAGGGAAAAACAGAGAAATAAATTATTTTTCTAAAAAAACTTAATGGCCTGATATGGAGGAACATATTTGTCGGTTGATACACTCTGTTGACCCTAATATTCTGCAATTTCAGGGTGCTTCCTAAATGCTGGCATCTGCTAAAATGTAATAAACCTTTCAATGACAATGGAAACCTTTAAACATTACTGTTAGGAGCTTACTATTTTAATAAAAGGAGTATCCCTATATCAAACCAAAAGTTAATAATTCACACAGATGAAATAGGCATTATTTGTCAAGCCCAAAGAATATGTACCAACCTCCCAACCTGTAGAGTGCTGACTGACTAGGGATAGCTTACTGTGACCAGGAGTAATTCACAAGTCCCAAATAAAAGGTCAAGGAAACACGTTCTTAGCAGAAATGAACAGGTATAAGCAGTAAAATCTTAAGGATGGCAGAATGTTAGAGAAGAGACAACAAGGGAAATATTTTGCCTGGCTCAAACAATTGAAATATAAAGCCCAGAACACCAGTTGCCTAGAAGGCAGGTTTCTACTGCTCTTTCCTAGGCTTTTCCTGTTTTTATTTACAAAAGGAGATAAAATTTCATTCTAAGAGCCTAACTATAAGATGGCAAACTAGTATGATAAGAAGAAGCCACAAGTACTGACTGAAAAATGAGTGTGAAGGTAAATTTTTAACTTTAAGTATTTGTTTAAATTTACTTGCATATCTTATGCAGATTTGAGTATTATAAGACGATACAAAAGGCGAAATTTAAATAGGACATACGTTTCAAATTTAATATTTAACTGTAAGAATAATAGCATATCAGTGCTCAAAACGATCTCACTGAGAACTTTCTCTAACTCAGCATTCTGGCAAGAACTTTGGGTGATTAGGAAAAACCGTGGACCATAGACCTGCAGCTGGAGCAGATCGTAGTCTAGTAGCGCAGACGTTAGCATGAGACCCAAAACCACTGGAGAGCATTTCGGTCTTTCCAGTGGGTGTGGAATACAAGTGTACAAAGTATTTAGAAAAAGGATATATTAGCATCAAGGAAATTTCCAAGGAAGATAAGGAACTTAGCTTGGTTCCTGACATGGAGTTAGAATTTAAGATGGAGGTGTTCAAAGGAATGAGATGGACAAAATAACGGGCAGGAAGGAAACGTGGCCTTCCCAAGGGACTGTCACTGACATGCACAGCTACCACAGAGGGTGTGTGTCGGGGAGGAATATGTACAGTCATGCGCTTAGGTTTGGGTCGAATTTTTGAGGAACTAAAAACCAAGTTGAGGTAGGGGGTGTTGAGGGCTGCATTTATTATCACAGAGCTATTATAGGTTGCTAAAGACGGCATATGATAACAAACTAGTATTTTCAGAAGATCTTTCTGGAGGTGGTATGCAGCCTGCATTATAGGAAAAGTACCTTCTGTTAGGGAGATGAGCCAAGAGATTCTGAGTCTAATCTAGTCAAGAGGTGCTAAGAGCTTGCACTAGGGCTGTGAATGTGGAGACAAAAACTCATATCTAAGAGAGATATTTTAAGTAGGAAATGTCAAGACTCAGTGATGGGTTGTGTACATAAGATAAAGGTAAAAGACAAGAGTAAAAGAAATTGATTTCTAGCTTTATTCCCAATGACTGAAAGCGTGATGATACCATGACTGATAGAATGAAAAAGTTGTAGGAGTTGCTCTTTGTGGAAATAAATCAATCAGCTTGGCTTAGGAATTAGTAAAGATTCAGGACCACATGATTCTGAATTCTTTTAGTACATGCAGGTTCTGTTCTGACTTAGACTGGGCAACTATAGATGCTTCCAGAGGTGAGAGAGAAATGACATGAGTACTATTATGGAGTGCCCTCTGGGCACCAAAGGTGGGTTTTATGAAGCCATATAGTATTTACTCTAATTCTTACTAAGTTTTACTTAGTGAGCACTTACTATATGTGAGGTCTTGTCCTAAACCTATCTACACAGATTTTTTACCTGTTGTATCCTCATACAATCCTATAAATTGGTACCATTAACTCCATATTACAAATTAAGAAATTGTCCCAAACCGATTCCACATATGGCACAGGATGGCACAACCAGTAAGTAACAGAGGTGATCTTAAGAATCTAGTTGGTTTGACTTACAACACTCAAGCCACTTCCAAAAGTCATATATAAAATAAAGTAATGGCTTTTGGAAAAACCCTGAAACGAAGCCAAGCTTCATTCTCTCTGTTTCTCTCTATAATCTATTCCTCATCTAATCCATTCAGATAGGCCTTCCTAAAGCTCAGCATACAGTGCCACATTCCATTACTTTCATAACTTCTGCTAGCTCTTTGCTACATTGATAGTACTTTCTGGAAAGTATAAGAGCAAAAGAAAGTTTCAGTTGTTTAAAGGCAAACAGTAGTAGTAGGTAGTCATCAGTCAAGAGCAGATTAGCTTTATACTAAAATTTTCACACAACAGCTCAGCTCAAGAAAAATCTATAAATAATACTAAATATATAAATGTTCTATAGTAAATATATCCTGTTTAACCTAGGCACAAAACCAATAAATAAGAAAATGTGTTCCTACAGTTACTTAAAATTAAAAATTCAAAAGTGTATAGAGACCGAAGTTACTTTTGAGAAGGCTATATATTTTTCCAAATATATGATAACTTTTTTTTTAATCGTGCAAATCTTGTTTCATAAATTAAATACCCACAGGACCCCTGGAGCTCATGGTTTATAGGAAATAAGGCTGTGGTTGGCTAGAAGACTCAGGACTTGAGAAAGCTTAATAGGAGGGAAGATTTTTCTTTTTCCGACTCTGCCTTAATCATCTCATAGCTCCCTGCTTAGCATTGTTTCCTGAATAGAACTCAGGGATTGATAAATTGATTTAATTTTGAACTGAGGATATTAAGACATTTGCTGTTTATATCATGCTTTGCCATAGTGACAAATAGAATCATCTTAACGTATTCATTGATATTTAGTGTAAGAATAAAATTTTAAGGGTATATTGCCTGAACTGATTTGGGACATAAAATTTTTAGATTTTAAAAAGTATAGTTTATTTACAAGTGATACCCTCTTTACTGTAAAAGGAAGTATCTCATTTCATGTAAATCTAGGGCCAGGATTAAGACCAAAGATAAATGTATAACTTGCAAGTCGTAGGACTAGGTGTAGGTTTTGAAGTCACAGATGAGAGGAACCATTAAAACAAAAGGAAGAGAATGAGAAAAACAAAATGGAACATAAAACAAGGAAATAAAGAATTTTAAGATGCTTTGAATACCAATAAGAGACCAATAGCAATGATAAAACTGAGGACAGTGATTCCCACAGAATGGACAGGATAGAAGACAGAACTTCATGAGATTAAATGAGGAAAAGAGGAAAGGAATCAAATAAAGAAAATTCTAAAAGTTCTAAAAGCCTAGTGTGCTTAAGCTGAGTATACCTTTAAAAACATTGATTTTTTAAAGAAATAAAAAATATGAATAATAAACCTAAGACATTATATTTGGGATTTATAAAGAATAGAAAAATAATTTGAAATATAAAGAAATGTTTTCTGATATTCTCCAATCTCAGCTTATGTCAAAGTTAAGATATAACTAGTGAAAGATACATTATGTAAGAAAAAATAAGAGAGACAGTCTGCTACAAGATCTAAAACAAAAACTACCTAGTTTTGTAAATGCTTGGCAAAAAAAAATCTAACTTTTTTAATATGCATGAATTTTATAAAAAAATAAAATAGTTGTGGTCTTGTTAAAACTGAGAATTCAATACGTTTGAGTAATTCATGTGTGTAATTTAAATCATTGTTAGACATTTTATTATAATAACCAAACATTTAAAAAAATAAAACTATCTTTCATAATTGAGAAAATTTCAAATGTAAATATAATTTAACCAAGTAATAGCTGAAAATGATTGAAGAACATGTGTTCATTTAAAAAAAAGGACTTAATTGTATTTTTGAAATGTAAGTCAGTTTGTTTTCCTCATTATCCTGTGTATGTGCGTGTTTATGTGTGAGTGTTTAAGAAAATTGTTTAATCTGCACATTGGGAGTGAGGCATTGGGGGGAGCACTATAGAGAAATTTATTTGCTTAACTGATTTAGTGTCTCCTACTGTTTTATTCTGACAAAAGCAAAAACATTACTCCTGTAACAGGAGTATGCAAACACTATACTAGAGAAACAAAACTATAGTTTCCATAAATGTTTTTGTACTACATTATCAAAAATAACTATTCCCTGAAATGTATGATTCTAATTAATTTCCAGAAATTAAACATATATAACAGTGAAGGTACCATCTAACAACTGCGTTTATTTCAGAAGTTATTTGAAGCCAGCTTTGACAATCATCCAAATCAGGTGAAGTCCTAAAGTTTCCCGGGAAAGGCCAATTTATCTCTTCTTTCTTAATTGTGAACACCATTAATGACTAGCATTTACATCAATATCTCTTATCCTCCAATTTAAGATTTAACTGAAGGAAAAAGGCAACAACATGTTGGAAAAAAGGGTAAAATGAGTTCTTAGAAGCATCATGACCCAAAATATAGCCTATTTCCATTTCTACCTAGCCATGTGCTCAAGGACAATTTGCTTAACATTTTTGGGTTTAGTATCTACACTATATAGTTAAATCATTGCACCACATTGTTCATTTTCTGCCCTTTTAAAATCCATGGATTGTGTGATTAAAATAAATTTATAATATGTAAAACAGAAAACCCTTACAAAATAGGGATGTGGGGCGGAGGGAGAGCTGAGCTCTACCCAATCAGCACCCAGTTCTCATTGCCTAATCCTAGCCATGCCTTTGATTATCCTTCCTGGGAACCTCTAGAGCTCCATGAAACACAGTTTGAAAATCATATGATTGTATCAGCTCTAAGACTATCACCAGCTCTAAAATTCTAGATTGTATGAAAACAAATCTGATTCTGGTCCTATCCCTTTGCAAGACAGATGAAATAAGAAGCTTCTAAGGTTTTATGTGTATTGTAAAGTTCAGGAAGCCCTTCCAAGGTGGGACTCTCAGAAAGCATGGGATACACAGTCTTCAATGTGGTGAATGCTGGGATTTGTTTTCCAATATTACTCACTGTGATCTGACACCAAACACAATGCAGTCCTGTCAGGCCCTGGTAACATTTAACCGTTTTGTGGCACTTATCACACTTGGTTGGGCAGTTGCCTTCAACCCAGTAATGATGCATGACCTAGAACAGAATAACATCATTGTCATAAGAGGAGGCAGTAAAGCTCACCACCTTCAGAAAGCAAGCGTGGCCACAAACTTACATCAGTGTTCTTTTTGGACTTCACATAGGTCTTGATGCAAGAGGGAGGTGCTCTAGCCACACAGCGTTCATGGACTGTGTACTTACAGACTGAAAGGAAACAGGTACACAAATTCAGAGCTAATCCTGGTCCTGATTGCAATTTTATAGGGAAAGAATGACATTAACAGAACCTTATTTCATATCCACTGCTCCCTAATCAATCCAATCAGCCACATCAAGGAAAAGCCCAAGTCGACTGTTTCTACCATAGAATACAAAAGGCCAATTAGTACAGGAAATATTATGCATGTAAAAAACCAAGACTCCTCTATCACAGCATAGCAGGAAATGCTTAATTAAATCAGTCCTCACTCAAATTTTTCACAATATTCCCAGATGACAAAAATATTAAAGACAAATTGATGACTGCCAAATGGCTTGGTGTCATTTGCTAGAAGGAAGAGATCTATATTTTACAAAGTATAGGCATGAGAGCAGCTGGCAGGCATGGGAATAAAAGCTCATGAGTTTATGCTATTTTGTCTATTGATTTATCCAAACCTTAAATGGCTGATTAGTCTTTTTCCACAGATAGATTTCATCATACATGCCAGGCCTTCAGTAAAAGTTCATCCCTCACTGGTCATCATGGCATTGTTTGTCCAAAAGAATCAACTTTTGCTAGGTAGCATAGGGTAAATAAATGCAAAAATTAATGTTTATATGCAGACATGTATTTGTACACACACACACACACACAAACAAGCAAATATATGTGTGTGTATACATATACCTTTTTGGCATCTTCACATTTTTTACGGTTTGATCCTGACTACAATTAGGTTCATATACAGGTGTTCTTTAGTAAAATGGTGTTGCCAAATTAAGAGTTCTAATGCACAAATATGTAGAACAAAATTTAAATTAAAAAAAACATGTAGACCTCTCAATAAAAACAAAAATGGAAACCACTGCCTAAAATTAGAATGAAAAACATTAAATCCACACAATATTTTACAGTAAAACTCTTCCAAATACTCACATATGTGATTTTCTTTGGCAAAATTGAGGGAAAAACCATGCTTTCTCTTCTACTCCCTGTTAACAATAATGTTGAGTGCTGTATTTCCCCACTAATCAGTAGAAATTTATGACCAAAATTCTCACTCTTTATATAGCATCGCTCACCTTATTTGAGAGTTATCATTTTATTTCATATGCTCTTACTTATGGAGTCCACCATAAAAAATTCCTTTACTTAAAAATAATAGAACTTTAAAAACAAAAGACTTACTTTGTATATGGATAATGCTCTGGTATAACTAACTTTTCAAACATGGCCATTAGAAACTGTCCTTTAATGTGCTATGTGGAAAGTCTATGTAGCTTTACTAAAATCCTTAAAGACTTAAAAAATCATATACATATGTGGTACTAAAACATGGTATTTAATGTCAAATAATAAATCGAAGAAAAAGTAAATTCTCAAACATACTACCAAAGAAGATGCTAGCTTAAAAAAAAAAAAAAAATCTGAAAACCACATATTGTATGGGGCCAGGCAAGAAATTAGATTAAATTAAATGCACAAAAAATGGATGTGTCTAAGGAACTTAACAGCTTTAGTAACTCCATACATACTAAAAAAGGACATGGAGAGATAAATTGATGGATTAATGAAGAACTCCAAAATTAAGTAAAGAGGGTCTAATATCTATTTAACAGGAACAGCAGGGAATGTAAAATTTTCTCAGGCAGATGTGCTGTAGATTTAAAAATACTTAGGTGATTTAATAAATTAACTGTTGTATACACTATTAAAGAATTCTAATTGGCAGTACTGAATTAATAGAATAAAATGAAAATTGCAAAGATGAGTTAGCTGACATTTAAAATATGGTCACAACTTATGAATCATCAATGCCTTGAATTCCAATATCTATTAACCGCATATAAAGATTTTCTTTATGATAATATTCAAAATAATATGCTTGAGATACGAAATTAGTTCGTATTTCTTGTGATTTCTTCATTTGAAAGGAAATCTATTTCTAATCAATTAATGTGCATTTTTTTTAAGACCTGAAGGAATTGGCTCATTATAAGAAGTTGATGTGAATAAAGTAGCTAACTTAGGGGGAAAAAGACAAACATGAATGAGATATAAATACAAGAAGTTAGTGGAAATCTTCAAGATAATCCCAGAAAAAAAATGGGAATCACGAATACATTAAACTACACTGGAAAAAAATGGCTAAAGTATTGGAAAATGTCCTTCATTCTTTTCCAAGGGGAGATGTCCCAAAACTAAAGAAATGTAAAACTAGAGTAATCTTAGCATTCAAAAATCACACTACAGGAAAACATAAACCATAGGTACAGGGACGGTCTGGATCACTTCTTAGGTCTCCATCTACAAATAGGACTATTCCATGAAATCAGCCTCTCCGCACTCAAGGAGATGACGTCCAGGCAGAGCAAACGTACTCACAGGAACAGCAAAGGCCCTGCTTCCCCACGCCAATCAGCATGTTCAGGCACAGGTTGCAGTAGGCAGGTTTGTTAAAGTGCTTGAGTCGCCACACGTGCTGTCCATCATCCTTCACGTTCTGCACAGGACGTAGGAGAAACAGATTTCACTTAATGAAATAAACAGTGGAAGATGTAAGTGCCAATAAAATTCAGAGCAGGACTGAAGCATGTGAAGACAATCTGTTATTTCATCTCTGACTTTCTCCAAGATCACCACAGAGTCTTTAGAAAAACACATGTGCTCGAGTGGAATGAGACAGTGCTAACAAATCACCGATGCTATAGCAACTCAACAAATTCTTGTCTAATATCAACACTTCAACAGCATACCCCAAACCATCGTAATGACCTGCCAAACTGAGCTCTTCCTAGAAACAGGGACGTGTCTACCTCACCTTTAAATACTTTATCTTTAGCATAATTTTACAAACAAATAAATGAATGAGTGGAAGATCCTGATAAATGAAAACTTGCAAAGACTTCATTAACCCTTGCTTGGTAGTAGGAATATGCAAAATGCAAGATAGTGGTTAGGTCATGTAAAGAGATGGAAGAATGGGATGGGGTAGGAAAAGCAATACATAAAAGTTATTGGGGATATTTTAGGGCTTCATGTGAGGATTCCTGTATTATATTCCTGTAGGCTTCATGTGAGGATATTGTATTATAATTTATATTAATATACTGTTATATGTCTCAAATAATAAATTTTAAGAAAAAGATTTTTAAAGGACTTAATTATGTTACCAGTTTGTTTACCCTCCTTTTATAAAATATGAATGATTTTATTCTCATGGAAAGATGGTGAAAACATTAAAACTGTATTACTATATTTATTTATAATAATCACTATAGTTATTTGCCACAGTAAAACCTCGAGTTTAGATTAATTCCCACTTTAGCCAAATACTGTAATTATTGTTTACTCATCTAAGTAAAACTCTATATACTATCATAATAACTACTTCTCTCATGTGTGTTTAATCACATCTACATTTTCTAAGATTAAGATAAAATGGGCAGGGCATGGTGGCATTCATGCCTGTAATCCTAGCACTTTGGGAGGCTGAGGCAGCATCACTTGAGGCCAGAAGTTCTAGACCAACCTGGGCAACATAGAAAGAACTGTCTCTACAAAAGTAAAAATTGAAAAATTAGCCAGGCATGGTGGTGTGTGCCTGTAGTCCCAGCTACTTGGGAAGATTGCTTAAACCCAGAAGTTTGAGGCTGCAGCGAGCTATGATTTTACCACTGTACTCCAGCCTGGGTGACAGAATGAGACTCTGCCTCTTAATTAATTAATTAATTAAATTTAATGAAATAATTTGATGCTTATGAATCTCTTGAACCCCTTACAAGAAGGTCAAAATATCAAATGAAGTTATTATATACTATTACTTTTGTTGCCATCATTTCCTTTCTTAACATGTATCCTTTGTACACCATCCACTAAATTGTATCAAACTCTGATTAATACCAGACATCATTTATTGGTATTCTATTGAAACCATTAAAGATCATAACTTCTGAGGTAAGTCAAATTGTCCTATATCTTAGAATACATTTACCTAATAATTTTTGGAGCATCTACTACGTGCTAGAGCACTAATACTAATTCTGTAGTAGTGGGACAATATAAACATATCCAAATCATCTCATTTCTCTTGATAATAAAATATTAATTATAATGGTCCTAACCACTTTTTCCTATTCCCAGTCAAGAGATAAGCCACTAGATTTGTATTACCAGAGGAAATCTGTAGTAACTAATTCTTACATTAGAACCAGAAATGTCAAATTTGCATCATAATATGAAACATTAATGAAAATGCTTCCTGGGAGATAATTCTCCATGGATCTCTTGAATTTCTGCATGTTTTGCAAGCAGAAGCACTATCTTTTTTTTTTTTTCCAGGCTTTCTTTTCAAAGATATTTGAATAACAAACAATCTTGGACAAAAGAGATGTGTCTCCCTACAGAGGAGAGGGGAGGTTTTCTTACTGTCTGGTGTAATAAAGATAATCTCTCCCTTCTGAACAAAGGTTAAGCAGGTTTGTGATTGCACGTAACAGATATAGTTTTCCTAAGCCAGGGGTTCCAAGCTCTGATATTATACACAGCAATTACTTGGGTCATGCTCCCTCATCCCCAGGAGGGCAAGGTGAACTGGCTGAAATATGAAGCTCCTGTTGCCTGCTTTGCTGTGAATAATAAAGTCCATTGTTTCTGACCCAAGAGTCTCATGTCCTCTGCCAGCATCCACAAAACCGTGGCAAGCTGCTAACACCTTAACTTGCAAATAGAGTAAATCTCAGACCCTTTAAAGTTGTTGATAATGCTCAGATTTGCCTTTCTGATGAGGGATTAACAAGTTCTCCACAAAAGTAGCTATACAGAAGGAGTCATGGAGAGAATTTCAGAACACATAGTTGTTTCCATTTTCTTCCAAATCTTAAGAAATAGGCTTTGCAGTAATTTCTGAATCCTGTTATGTTTTGTGTTAGTCATTAGATTTCTAGTTGATTCATAATGTGAATAGAATGTTTTACATATTTAACTGCTATATTTTCCAA